TTGGGACCAGGGTTGGGTTTCATGCCAAGCCAGGGACTCATGGTAATGGTACCTTGGGACCAGGGTTGGGTTTCATGCCAAGCCAGGAACTCGATAATATGCTAAATTGGGGCTGAGGATACTTTTGAGTAAAAAGGCTTGGCAGCCCGTTGAGACCATAGTGCTTTCCAAAGATCCTGGTGTATGATATACACTGTTTAGGCAATTTTTATGCAAGTGAACCCTGTGGCCCTGTGGGATGTACCCCGTAAAACATGGAACACGCTGATGTTGAAGACCACTGCCATCCACGTCATTGTTTTGCTCAAATTTTGCAGTTTGGCACCAGACCTTGGGCGTCTTTAATTTTTGCCCTTCTGTTTGTCCGTGAATTTAGCCTTCCGCATTTCCACATTGCCCGCATCCGCATCGCACTGTAACTACATCGCAGCCATGTTTTCCGGTAGGGTGTTTCCCTGCTCCTTATCGGCAGGCCCCCCAAAAAAAAGCCAGTCCGTCTGCACTGTGCCACTGACTCTGCAGTGCCCCCTAACCACATCGCGCAGCCATGTTTTCCCTGCACCTTACCAGAAGGCCCCCCCCTCCCAAAAAAAAAAAAAAAAAAGCCAGTCTGTCTGCAGAATGCCCGAAAAGAAAGCCAGCACGTCTGCTGTACCCCCAACTTCTAGTCCCCTGCCACAGGGCACTCTAGTTACCTACCACAGTGCACGTGAAATTCTACGCCGAGAAAACCTCCCACTCGACATATCAAAAGAATTGGATGACTAACGCTATGTCAAAAAAAAGGATAACCAATTTGTGGACAATTTCAAGTGTACGTAGTACGTACCATGCAACTTAGTTACGTGGTTACATGTATGTCAAAAAAAAGGTAACCAATTTATCGACAATTTCAAGTGTGCCCTTACACCCAATCAACAGTTCACCAAGTGGTCGGGCACAAGGCTCCTACCCATCCATAGTGGTGGATGGACTCGATGACCTCCAGGTGTTCTTTCTTATATATTGTGTCCGTGATAAGGGATGCCTGGACAACATCACACGGCTCACAGCTGGGAATGTGCATTGTGTTCTTGATTGTGGCTACTTTGACAATATCACATGGTTCACAGCTGAGAGCATCGCACTCCAAAGTCTTTTCAAGCAGTGTGGCACAGGGCTCCCCAACTGGTAGTGCTGGATTCATCGACCTCAAGTTGTTCTTTCTTCCTTATATGTTTTCTTGATGGTGGCTGCCGCTCACAGTTGAGATCTTTCCCCGACTCATAAGGTATACGCATCGCGGGTCCGTTCGCTGGAGCACACTTTCTAGTGACAAAAGAAGCCACTTGGACAGTTTCCAGTGACAACAGAAGCCACTTGGACAGAGTCTCTTTTCCTCGGAACAATAACCGTACCCAAACTACACTTCCAAGTTGAGGGAAGCCCCCACTGCTGCTGCTTTATGTACAGCTAAGAAAGCATGAACCTGCTCATTTTTACAACTAGGTTCATGCTTTCTGAGAACCGAGATAGCACAAGTTAGGCCTGCCGCTAACAAGAAGACCGTACCTACGTGCCTACAATGCTCGAAAAGAACCAAGCCCAGAAGATATTTCATTCGCCTGCAACCTATTAAAGCACATTCCCACCAGTACCCTGAAAACACATTTCCCAGTAAGGGGCCCCCCACTGGTCCTAAATTCAAGCTTGCAACGCATGAACCTGTCCATTTTTACGACTAGCTTCATCCTTTCTGAGAGAAAATATAGCACCAGGGAGGTCTACACCTGACAAGGGGGGCATGCACACAACACTCAAGAGCCACCCACAGAAGATATTTCATTTGACTGCAACCGATCCACAGAAATTCCCCTTCAACTTAAAAGCAGGAGGCCTGTGAAAAACGGGGGTCTAGGTCAGGCCCCACTAGCAGCTCAATTGTATAGCTTTCAGGTAGTTTCGACTTGACAATAGCATGAACACAAGATTTTCAAATCGCAAGGACGATCTCATTCCGTATATAAATTATTTTGTGTTTGTGTTTCTCGTATAGTTTTCTGTGAATTAGAATCCAGAGGTGCTTTGTATGGCATAAATACATCTAGTTGTTAGTTGTTCATATACACATCTGTTATTTATCTTAAACGAAAATGACAAAATGCTCAGAAAGCCAAAAAGTCTGTGCCCTAAGCCTTCAATGCTGGAGAACTACTCTAT